CTAGTAGTATAATTCTTAGAGATTAATAGCTTTAAGCTATACTATCTAGCTATTATAGATTTACTCAGTTTAGCTATTATACTACTTATTTCAAATTCTACTACTAGTCCCCCGATAAATTATATAGTTAAGAGTATAGAATACTAAATTACTAACTTCTAAATAGAGATAGGTCGATTAGTAGAAGTCGATTAACGGTTCGACTAATAGTTTAATTAATAGTTTAATTAATAGTTCAATAAATAGTTTGATTAAAAGTTTGATTAATAGTTTGATTAATAGTTTGATTAATAGTTTGATTAATAGTTTGATTGATAGTTTGATTAATAGTTTGATTAATAGTTTGATTAGTAGTTTAAGAAGAAGTTCGATTACTAGTAATAGTTTAATTCAAAACGTAATTAATAGTTTAATTAATAGTCTAATTAATAGTTTAACTAATTAAACCGTTTAATTAGTAGTTTAATTAGTAGTTTGATTAATAGTTTAATTAGTAGTTCGATTAGTAGTTTTAGTTTAATACAAATTTTAGTTAGTACTTTAGTAGCAGCTAGTCCCCTAATAAATTATATAGTTTAAAGTATATAATACTAAACTGCTAGCTTCTAAATAGAGATAGGTCGACTAGCAAGTTAATTAGTAGGTCGATTAATAGTTCGATTAATAGTTCGATTAATAGTTCGATTAATAGTTCGATTAATAGTTCGATTAATAGTTCAATTAATAGTTCAATTAATAGTTCGATTAATAGTTCGATTAATAGTTCGATTAATAGTTCGATTAATAGTTTAATTAATAGTTTAATTAATAGTTTAATTAGTAGTTTAATTACTAGTAATAGTTTAATTTAAAATTGAATTAGTAGTTCAATTAGTAGTTTTATTAGTAGTTTAACTAGTAGTTTTATTAGTAGTTTAACTAGTAGTTTTATTAGTAGTTTAACTAGTAGTTTTATTAGTAGTTTAATTAGAAATTTAATTAGCAGTTTAATTAACTATTTAATTAATAGTTTAATTAGTAGTTCGATTACTAGTTTTAGTCTACGGAAGTTTTAACTAGTATTTTATTAGCAGCTAGTCCCCCGATAAATTATATAATCTAAAGTATATAGTACTAAATTACTAACTTCTAAATAGAGATAGGTCGATTAGTAGGTCGATTATTAGGTCGATTAATAGATCTATTAGTAGTTCGATTAGTAGTTGAGCTAGCAGTTCGATTAGTAGTTTGATTACTAGTAACGTTTTGATTTAAAATCTCGTTAGTAGTTTAATTAGTAGTTTAACTAGTAGCTTAACTTGTAGTTTAATTAGTTGTTTTATTAGTAATTTCAAAAATAGCTTAATTAACTATTTAATTAATGGTTTAATTAGTAGTTTAATTGCTAGTTTTAGTTTTACGAAAATTTTAATTAGTATTTTATTAGTAGTTTCTTTAATAGTTTCATTAGTAGTTTTATTAATAGTTTTATTAGTAGTTTTATTAATAGTTTTGTTTCTAGTTTTCCCTTTAATCTTTAATTAAATATTACTTCTACTAAAATTCTTAGCTAATTATTTCGGTCTTAGCGGATAACTTAGATTTTCGCGGGCGGTAGGCGCGGTATCTAGATTAGTAGCTATAGTACTAATTATTTCGGTATTAGCGGACAACTTAGATTTTAATACTAGCTAGCACTAGCTAATAGTCCGAGCTAATACTAGCTAATACTAGCTAATACTAGCTAACACTAGCTAATACCTACGCTAAAATCCGGGGCAAGTTAAATTTCCCTTTAATATTTGTTTCGATTGACGTTCTACGCTGAAATCCGGGGTAAGTCAAATTCTATATCAACTTTGATGACGCTAAAATCCGGGGCAAGTCAAATTTCCCTTTAATATTTGTTTCGGTTGACGTTCTACGCTGAAATCCGGGGTTAGTCAAATTCTACATTAACTTTGATAGTACAATTGGCTCTGCAAAAATTCTCAGCTAATCATTCGGGTCTTAGCGGACAACTTAGAGTTTCGCGCGCGAGGGCGCGGTCCTTAGATTGGCAGCAAGCTGCCAATCAATAGCAGGGGTAAGGTAAGGTAACAGCGTAGAGATGGCAGGTGCCACCTGTTACAGGTGCTACCTGTCAAATCACCTATCGGCCACCTGTATAAGTAAACTTAGACACAGACATCACCTACTACGACTTATGCCCTATACGCGTGACCTATATGATTTTCCTTTTCTAGTAACCGACGTAGGGCGACTCTCAGTTAGGAATCGATAGGTAATCCCTATTATATACGCGATACCGAAGTACGCTAGGATTGCGGCCTACTTAGTATAGAGTAGGACCTAGTAGGAAACGGACAGGTAATACCTATAACTGTCGGCGGCACTAACGGACCCGTATTCGAAACGATAAAGGCACTCTAGACAGCTAGTAGAGGAAACGCCTAGAGACTATCGCTAGTACTACTCGAGGAAGTGGAAATCACCTCTAACCGAGACCTCCCGGAGTAACGCTATAATTGCCTTATACCTTACTAGATTCCGGCTATTATAAGCCTTAGAGAAGAACTTAGAGAAAGGACATATATTGACATATTTAAGACAGAGTAATCCGGCGGCCTTAACGACGCTAGGTTTACCTGTCGGTTTACCTATTTGCTTACCTGTAAACTACCTATTAGAAGTTGCCTGGATTTTGTTGCCTAAGGCAACGTTTGCAATCTATATAGGCAGGTAACACTACTTAGCGATTGTACCTTACGTAGAAGGAAGTTAGGAGGAGATCCAGCCGGTAGTAGGTGCCTACGACCTGTGTTTACACCTATATCCTTCCTTAATAGGTGTAACCTCGTCTAAGCGAGACCTTAGTAGCGAAGGAAAACTAGTATTGCGACATATACGACTTTCGAGACTACCGTTCTAAAGAAAAATCAGAAACTTATTTCCCTACTGTTTATAGACAATACTGCTTACCTATTTACCGATTGTAGTAGCTACCTAATTATAGGCGCTATCTAGTCGATAACTAGATTACCTTCCGAGCCTACAACCCTACTAAGCGCTCAGTTTTCAACGCCCCTAAATACAATTAACCTGTACGAAGAACTCTCTAGGAGCGGGATTGACCCTAACCTGTCTCCCCTGCGTTTATATCCAGCCACTTTGGTTCCGTCTCTATAATAGTAATCGCAGCTCTATTCCTAGACCGACTACGCTAGCCGGAGGGAGAGATACCGCTAACTCCTCGGCCCTAAGACCTTCTAGCTGATTCTAGATAGCTAGGTGAATTTGGACCGTTCTACCGCTAAGATAACGGGAGCTTAAGATAGACTGTCCTATACTCTGTTCTTAGGGGATGGTACCTAGAGTGCCTCCCGCTAGCTAAGGCGCTAGGAGTTTATTATACTACAAAAATTTGCGGATAAGGGAAAGGTACTACCTAAGCATTATTTAACTACTATTAACGTCTACCTCGAGAGTAAGGCGTTAGTTTAGGCTAACAAGAATACCCTAGTTAAGAAGCTGTTAGCACCTAGCTTTATAAAGACTGCTAAGGATAAAGATATCGCTATATTTAAGCGGCTCTTCCTAGATTATTTCACCGAAGTAGACACTAAGGACGTCCCTAATGCTATCCTACAAATCTAAGAGCTCGAGTAGGAAGTAGGAGAGACCCTACTTACGTACTACAGGCGAGCTAGCGACCTACTAGTTACCGCTAGTAGTATAGATCGTACTACCGATCGAGAGATAGAGCCCGCCGCATAGAGCCTGCTTATCCTAATAGTAGACTCCTTCCTAAAGGGGATTAGGGAGAACCCTTTACTTATGTTGCGTAGCCTCGAATATATATTATCTACCGCAAAGTCGTTAAAGGGGGCCCTTAAGTACGCTAAGGCTACTAGGAGAAGGTTGAGAATTAAGGATAAGGCAAAGGAGAGGATACGCAACAAGAAACGGATCGAGCTAGTAGATAAGCTAATGCCCGTTATAACTAGGGATAGGAACGATAGCCTAAGGTTGCCGGCATCTAAGCAGCACCTATTAACCTAGTTCCGTAAACTCTCGTAGAAAGAGGTAGACCCTCTAGATAAATTCAAGCTAAAGCCGGTAGAGGTAGTAGTCCGGGCGACTAGCGAAATAACGGTCAATGAGCTGGAATAGCTAGCAAATAGGCTAGGCCTTACCCTACACCCAAAAGATCCTCGCGCTAATAACCGCTCTAACCGGAATCCACTATCGGGCGTACGTATAAATGCGATAGCGGAGACCTTAGAGCTAACTCGAGCTATAGCTATACTAGCTCCTTCCCTAGCGCCCCGTCGAGAAGCCGATCCAACGTTTAATCCAAAGCAATCCTCTAATGAGTTTGTAAATAGCAGCTGCTAGTATAACCGGAGAGATAGGTTGTTATGTATCGCCTATAGATACCTAGGACATCGGCCGGAAAAGGGACAGCTATACCTAAATAGATATAGCAAACTCTCCTATAACGAGCAGCAAGCCTTAAAGGAGATTGTATTCAAGGATCGTAGCCCTCTAAGTAAGCAACGTCCAGCCCCTATAAGTAGAATGCTGCGGACGCGCATCACCTTATGCACAAAGTCCCCCCTCCAGGCCTACCGAAGCCTCCAAGCAACTCGGCGTACAGAAGCAGTAAGGCGGGCTTGAATATGATGATGTTGGAATGGCACAGGCTTTTGAAGAATGACGGGGTCAAGGTCTGGTGCGTTGCGCCTGGTTCGATGTTACGCCTAGACATAATCTCGATGCTAGGAGCAGCAACTAGCGAGGACGAGCCGTCCTTAGAAAAGCAGGTAGCGCCGGCGATTAGGTCAGATACTAGAAACGATAACCGAGTCAATCCTTTACAGCCTCCTAAGCGAATCCGGAAGCCTATACAAATTCAGGATTTCCTTAACTACGATAAGGATATGCTAGATGCTAGACCACTAGCACTAGCTAGATTCGTTCCGCCGTACTAGAGTACTCTATAGAAGGCAAAACGAAAGTTAAAGAAAGAACTTGCGAAGATCTAAGCATACCTCGACTAAGATAAACCTCTTGCCGCTATTAAATTATAGAAGAAGGCCTAGATAACTGTTAATCCTCTAGAGCTACTACAATAGTCTCTAGCATTCCGCGATGCTATATCGGTGCTTATAAAACCACTACGTAAGGAGAGACGCCGCAAGAAACAGGACCGGCCGTCGGACTAGCCTGCACCTATTACGGTGCAGGTGAACAAGATGTCTACAAGATCTAATACTAGTAACGTAGACTAGCGAGAGGTAGAGAGCAATATAAGGAATTTCCTTAGGAGAGACGGTAAGTCTTTCTCCGTAGAAGCAAAGGTCCGTAAGGTTAACGATAAAGGAGAAATTACTATTCCGTATAAGTTTACACATACAGATTAAGGCTCAGACCTTAACGTCGTATACCCGGTACTAGTAAAGAAGCTTTATTTAGACCTAAGAGACCTTAAAGCAGTAGACCACCGGCGACTATAGATAACAGTTACAAGCGGAACCTCTATAGAGCTTACCTATTTTGCTATCTTCAACGTCTAAGTAGAAGGCCTGTCTAGAAGAATTTAGGCCGTAGTTGCACCTAAGCCCGAGGTTAGCTAGGAGGTATGCCGACGAAATATACTAGCCCTATTATTAGGATTACCCTAGCTCTACTCCGTAAGGGCTAACTTCAATATCTTTAAGGGATACCTAAAGATTAGTAACCGGAAGCGTAGGGAGTAGAGGGTAACCCTTACTAGACCTACTTTAGAACAGGCGGTTATACAGCGCTAGTAGGTTCCTAAGATACACATTCCGGACGTAGTAAGGGACGCCGACTTATCGGACAGCGACTCTAAGGTTTCTAGCTTAGATAAAGAGTCCTCGGACTCTTCGGGATATAAGTCCTATACTAAGAGTATCGCCGCGGATCCTGGCTCGGGCTACGCTAATCCTGTTAGAAAGAAGCGTGTATATGTCACCTTTACGTAGGACTTACGGGGCAAGGACACTATACAAGGGGATTTTTGAAGGGTCCTAAGTAGGACCTAAAAGGGCTTATAACTCGGGTAAAGATGAAAACGCTTGACTCTAATTTACCTATCAAATCACCTATTGCAGCAAAATCACCTAATATTAGTTTACCTATTAAACCACCTGCTATAACACAGGTATTACCTAACCGAGGCGACGAGATACCTGTAGAAAATTCCTCTTATACTTCCGATAAGTCTCGGGATAAGGTACTTATAGCCGCGAGCAACTATTATAGTAGGTATTTCCAGTAGTCTAACCTAGGCGACTTTCGGCAATAGGCTATATATCGCTATAGGACGCGATTCTATTGCATCTAGCATCCCAAGCCTAATCTAGATTCAATTCATGCCTTCTATAGCATTTCGGCGGAACGACAAGTGTTAGCACGTTAGCCCTTTCCTATAAATAGGAGGGTTATACGGCGAGATGTCTCTAAGCTGCCGAGCGCTAAAAACCTACATGCCTAGGCCAGGTAGGAAGGATTTCAACTAGGGGATATAATTCCGAGTAAACATTGGGAATTAGAGGTCCTTAAGGTGCTTTAGGTATACGCCGATGTCTTCGTAACCGAGCTAAAGCAGATTCCCCCTATACGCCTTATTAAGCATCGTGTCCGACTAAAAGAGGGGTCCGTAGTATATTCTACGAAGCAAAGACGACTTTTAGGGCATAAGGAATAGTAGCTGCGGCGAATCATTTAGGAAGGAATCGATGCTAGAATGTACGAACGTACGATAAGCGCGAACGGACGTATTTCGCTATAGAATGCTGCTCCTATATTAGTACCTAAGAAGGGATAGGAACAGCCTCGCCTAACCTTTAATTACTATTATATTTTCGAAGAGGGTTATAGGAACTATATAGAGCTTATTAACAGGGTCTATAAGTTCCTATCGGATCTATCGCATAGGATATTTTGTCAATTTGATATCAAGCATATATACTAGTCGGTTCCCGTTCATCCGGATGATCGATATATCCTAGCTTTTACCGTACCTAGATTAGGGCAGTTCCAGCTAACGAGAATGCTACAAGGCTACAGGTCTTCCTTATTTACGATAACTAAGCTTATAAGCATTACCTTAGGACCTATTCCTAAGCCGAACCTAGAGCTAGCCTTACGCTATAGGTTTAGTAAGTCGGACAAGGAAAAGGCTATCGCCTATATAGATAACTGCTTTATAGCGCACTAAGGAGCGAGTGATATAGAAGCCTTTATAGCCTCATTCTACTACCTTCGAGATTATATCCTACTACGCCTGCTCTAGGCCGAGCTAAAGCTAGCACCTACGAAGCTGTACCTGTTCTGCCGGAAGGTGAAGGCTTTAGGACAGGTAATTATAGCCGGGGGCGCGGTAACTATCAATAAAGCCCGTATCTAACGGATTCGGGATTAGCCCGTTCCGATAGATGTGTCGGCGGTTAGGGCATTCCTTAGAACAGTAGGCACTATATGCAAGTAGGTGCTGAATTTTTCGAACATTGCGTTACCTCTTACGAGCCTAACCGGGAAAAAGGACTAGTCTTAGGGGTTGGTGCAAGACCTGTCCTTTCGGCTACTAAAGAAGCTATATATTACTAAGGTACAAATGTTTAGTAGGATACCTAATAAGGCAGTAAGAATGTACTCGGACGCGTCTAGCACGGGAGCTAGCTACTATATCTCTCAGATCTAGGACGGTAAGGAGAGGCCGATATAGTATAACTCCTTCTAGTTTAACAAGACCGAACGCAACTATAACACGTATAAGCGTAAGCTGCTAGCTATCTTCCGGTTCGCGATAAAGTTCAAGCATATGCTAGACGTAATAGAGACCTCGGTAATCCTAACGGATTAGAAACTATTAGCGGGATTCCTAAACGCGGATACTTATAAGGATATATTCTTTAGATAGGTCTAGAAACTTCGAATGCTTAACGTCCGCATTGAATGGATTAAGGGGAAGCGCAATGCTGCGGCAGATAGCCTATTACGCACTATTTTCGAACCTAGTTGCCCGGAGACTCCACTAGTAAGAGACCTAGCGAAACAGGTAGAGGAACACGCCTAGGATAACGAATAGTTCTAGAAGTTAGGGAAAGGCGGATATTAGGATATAGTCAAACGGTTAAGCTCGAAGATAGCGAAGTTATACGCAGTATATAGCATACGTTCTACGTATAACAGGTTGGATTTAGATAAAGGTCTAGTAGGCTAGACCTCCTTTTCTCGGAAGTATAAGAGGAATTTTCTACAGGTGTCTCGTCGCCTCGGTTAGGTAACACCTGTGTTATAGCAGGTAGTTTAATAGGTAAACTAATGTCAGGTGATTTTGCTACAATAGGTAATTTAATAGGTAAATTAGAGTTAAGCGTTTTTATCTTTACCCGAGTTGTAAGCCCTTTTAGGTCCTGCTTAGGACCCTTTAAAAATCCCCTTATGTAGTATCCTTACCCCGCAAGTCCTACGCAAAGGTAACATATATACGCTTCTTTCTAATAGGATTGGCGTAGCCCGAGCTAGGATCCGCGGCGACACTCTTAGTATAGGACTTATATCCCGAAGAGTCCGAGGACTCTTTATCTAAGCTAGAAACCTTAGAGTCGCTATCCGATAAGTCGGCGTCCCTTACTACGTCCGGAATGTATGTCTTAGGAACCTACTAGCGCTATGCAACCGCCTGTTCTAAAGTGGGTCTAGTAAGGGTCACCCTCTGCTCCCTACGCTTCCGGTTACTAATCTTTAGGTGTCCCTTAAAGATATTAAAGTCAGCCCTTACGGAGTAGAGCTAGGGCAATCCCAATAATAGGGCTAGTATATTTCGTCGGCACACCTCCTAGCCAACCTCGGGCTTAGGTGCAACTACGGCCTAAATTCTTCTAGATAGGCCTTCTACTTAGACGTTAAAGATAGCAAAATAGGTAAGCTCTATAGAGGTTCCGCTTACAACTGTTATCTATAGTCGCCGGTAGTCTACTGCTTTAAGGTCTCTTAGGTCTAAATGAAGCTTCTTTACTAGTACCGGGTATACGACGTTAAGGTCTAAGCCTTGATCTATATATATAAACTTATACGGAATAGTAATTTCTCCTTTATCGTTGACCTTGCGGACCTTTACTTCTACGGAGAAAGACTTGCCGTCTCTCCTAAGGAAATTCCTTATATTGCTCTCTACCTCTCGCTAGTCTACGTTACTAGCATTAGATCTTGCAGATATCTTGTTTACCTGCACCGTAATAGGTATAGGCTAGTCCGACGGCCGGTCCTGTTTCTTGCGGCGTCTCTCCTTACGTAGTAGTTTTATAAGCACCGATGTAGCATCGCGGAATGCTAGAGACTATTATAGTAGCTCTAGAGGATTAATAGTTATCTAGGCCTTCTTCTACAATTCAATAGCGGCAAGAGGTTTATCTTAGTCGAGGTATGCTTAGATAGTATCTAATGTGCGGGCGTATATCTAAGGATGCATCTAGTGCGCAAGGTACGCTAATAGAAGCCGAAGCTAGCCGCAAATGCTAGTAGAGGTCCTCGGGCTATAGAAGCTGTTTAGGATAGACTAGATTAGCCCCTTGCTACCGTCTACGAGAGGAAATCGGTATATCCTGTATCTTGTCGACTACTTCGATAGGCTCTCCTTCGCGAAGGCGGCCCCTATATACAAACTAGGCGACACAATAGCTGCTTTAAAGAGCTACCTAAAACGACTTCTAGTAATAGCGGCGATCTTCTACGACCCTAGCAAGCATTATATTACCTAAGAGGTAAAAGATTTTTGTATCTAGCAAGGCATATATATTATATTCGCCCCGACAGGTACATCGAGGGCTATAGGAATAATTAAGAAGGCAAATGATCTCCTATAAAGAGCCTTAATAAAGTCGGCATCGCTATACCTTATATCTACTAGTAGGGAGTACTCTACCGATTAGAGGGATTGGGATTTGCGCCTACAGCCGGTAGTAAAGAGTATAAATACGAGGTACATTGATTATCTAGGGTACGCCCCGTATAAGATAGCGTATAGGAGTACGGTATCGAATATAGAGCTAGCGGAGTAGACTCTCCCGACTCAACCTGCCTAGGCGATTATAGAGTAGCTTAGGGGTAAGTTCGATATTCCGGATAAGGACGAAATAGCCGCACTAGCATTCCGATACTTAGCGGATTAGCAGGAAATGAAGGACCTAGTTGTTAAGAAGGACTACCTCCGTAGGGATCGCTAGAAGACTCGGTATAATAAGGGAGTCTTAGGAGAGACCTTCTATCCTAGACAGGCTGTTTTCCTAGAAGATACCTCTAATAAAGGGAAGCGGAAGAAGTTGAGCCCGTCCTTTCGAGGCCCCTTTATAGTAACGGGGTATAGAGGTAAGCATTAAAGGTTATATACTCTAAGGCAGCTCAACGGCAAAACGATTTCTAGCTACTTCTACGGGGATTATCTGCGACTGTTCAAACCTCGATAGGGCTACCTCATTCCCCCTAAGGAAGCACAAATACCCGAATATTAGCTTATTAGAGCTGCTCGCTAACGGCCGATTCCTAAGGCACCTACGCTTTGCGTATAGGTAGCCGACAGGTAACGCATAGGTAAACAGGTCGTTTATAGAGTATAAGGTAATCGCGGAAACAGGTCGCTTCAATGCTTAGTGTTAATTAGCCTATTATTGTTATTGTTGTTGCCCTATAGTTGCGTTACTAACCGTAGGCGTAACAAGTTGCGGCTTTACTAGCTAGTTACCGACTTGAAAATTTGCCGTTAACCTTCAACCTGCTAATATACCTATATATACATTATTATAAGGACACTCTTAGTTAAGTATCCGATTATCTTATACCTTTAGCGTTCTTCTTCCCCCCCCCTCCCGGCTACGATTACCTATACGCAACCTACTAGTAATCGAGACATAGCGGCTACCGTTATTTCGGACCTCGAGTCCGACCTAGGCGGCAATAGTACTCCTATACGCGGAGGATATCGCTACCTAAACTTCGATAATATCTTTCGCAATAGATACCTATACAATACGTACTATATTACCTACGTCGTAGTTTTAAGAGATAGACAGTACCCGGAGATGCTAGAGTTCCTCTCGCGCGAGGACGGATAGCCTATCGTAGTCGACAACATCCGCGTTCTACCTACGGTCCTCTATAAAGCACTCTATATTTATTTCGGCGCTTGTTTCGAGGCGGCGCGTTAGACTAAGGTGTCAGAATTCTACAACACCTTACGCCTATTCCTTTAGGTTAAATACGCCCTCTCTACGGTAGTAATAGTCTAGCTAAATAGCCGATAAACGGTACGAACCTTGCCTATAGGAGAAGTGAACTAGCTACTAGTACGCCTAAATTGGGATGCGGATATATCGGGCACGGCGCATTCCTACTACTACAACAATCGATCACTCCTATAGTTAGTACTTGTTTATAGCCCTATTAGTCTAGTACTTAGGCAAGTGAAATTTAGGACGCGCTCGAATATAGTTACTACCTGTCCTTAGAAGATAATAGGAGTTGTAGTAGAATAGGATAACTTTAACACAGGTGTTATAAGGCGCGTCGCTGCCTACGATACTCTAGTTGCAGTCTTATACTATCCGCCCTCCGCCTCCCCGGTATTAAAGAGCGTAGACGACACCTGGCTACTAGTGCGTACTATGCCTTTCTAGCGCGTTCTAGTATGGTTAATAGGACAAGAGCTAGTAGGAACACGCCTAGTGTATCTAGCAGATAGGAATAACGGCCCGATAGGCGGCCTAATAGGTAGTACTAGCGAGCGAAATAGCAGAGAACAGATTACTATTACTAACTAAATAAGCGTCGCTAGTCCTTTCCCGCCGGATACCGGTAAGGATCCTAGTCTTCGTTATTAGGTATATGCTCGTATACAACAACAGACTAACGCCTTCTGCTTGCAGTAGACGGCCCTTTAAAACAATGAGTCCTGCTTATAGGTAACGCCTACTATCGGCGCATTTTACGAGGCTAATAAGACAGTGCTCCGCGGTGAATATATCGGCATCTGCGACTAGCTACGCGAGCTACTACGCGGTAAACTGCCTCATTTTCCTAAGGGCAGCGCAAATAACCTAGTTAGCGTTCCGATAGCAGGCTTCCTAGTATAGGCATAGAAGAACGAATCAAATAACTAGATCCGCGCGAAGAGTATCTAGGGTATATATATCTCGCGCCTCTCCTTTTAGCTAAGCAAGGAGGAACAGCGAGCTCTCCGCAAGCGAGTGGACTAGCGTCGCAGTACTTATATAAGTGCTTTTAAGAAGGGTGACTACTAGCTAGTAGCTTCTATAGCCGAGACACATAGCGAGCTACAGGTCTTCCGCGAGGAATTACACATTCACTACCTTAACGAGGGACTCTCCTACGGCTAGAAGATGCCTCTATTTCGGTTTAACGATTCGCAGATAGGACCGAAGAAGTAGCAGTACTACGTCGGCTAGCTAAACTACGAGCTAGACCCTGCTATAGCTGTTCCTAATTACCTAGAGGACTATTACACTATGCTCTACTAGTCTATATAATACTATTAGAACTTCGTAGGAACCGTCGATAAGCTATATACTTATATGCGATACGCGAAGCAACTTGTTATCCTAAGACTAGGCGGAGTAGACTACAGTTATAGCTAGACGCTAATCGCCGGAGAATAGGTGCTAACGACCTACCTAGACAATCTAGTAGCCGCTATTTTCCGCTTTATAAGCAATATAGGTAACTCCTATCTTAACTTCACTACTTAGTACAATGCTAATATGCTATATATCGAGAATACCCGAGAGCCTATTATTCGCTTTAACCTATACACTACCTTAACGGAACAGTAGTAGTTTTTACGCTACTAGAATAGTTACCTGCTTAGCAAGAACCAGCCGCGCTACTCCTTAATAGGTACCGATATTAACGACGCGGTCGACCTAATAGCTAAGAGCGATAAGGATATCGGCCTAGTTAATGACTACCTAAGAGCTGTCTAGGGATTTAACGGAGGCCTAGAAGAGACTAAAGCCGCTACAAATCTCAAGTCTACGGCACGTTATACTAACGAGCCCCTACCTCTACTACCTAGTATAGGAGTGCTATTCAATTATGTCCGCCTTACTACTACCCCTGCCGACGACGAGGTAATGTAGAATCTGCTACATTATACGCTACTAATTATCTTAGAATACCTGCGAGACTAGCTGTTACCCTTAGGTTTCTAAATAGACGACGACTTTCTAATTAAAGTGCTAAGATATAGTGTAGCACTAATGAATGCTATTATCGCGTAGCACTGCCTATTACGCTTTAACGGCGACACCTATACGCTCCTCCTATTATCCTGCCCGACGGACTTCGGTATATTTCGCTAGGCTACTGCAATCGAGGCTCGTATCGTTATAGCAAATCTCGACGCTACCTATCGCGGCACCCTAATAAATAAATACATAGATAAGAAGCAGTTCCGCCTAGATAGCGGCCTTAAAATCGCTAACTATACTAAGGTTAACTACCTGCTATAGAACGTAGGTCGGCTGAATGCGTTCCGTCGCCTAGCTACAGCCCGTCGGGACTTTACTGAAATCCTCTTAGACGGTACGAAGGCTTAGCTGCTAATACGACAGGTTATAGGTGTGGTCCGTCTAGGTATACTTGTTACGATACCTCTCCGACCCTCTAGGAATCGCGGGCTCTTGTCTATACTAACAACTAATACACCTGCAAGCGCCGGATCCTTAGGTACGTTTAGTAGCACCGCTAGACGCGGCGGATTGTTCGATACTCTTACTAAGGTCCGGAAGCATACTAGCATCTCAAAGACCCTAGTACTAGCTAACAAGACCTAGAATATTACCGACCCTCCGACTATAGAAGAGGTGCAGTAGCTTCTGCGTGCCTATAACTAGGCGAAGGCAGTCGATTAACTTAGCGAGCTAGGAGCTATATACAGATTGTAGATAGCCGGAGATCTTCTATAGGCCGAGGCCCTCTTAGGACAATACGAGGATAATTAGCTAGTGTTGTATAGCCTAGCTATTAAATACAGAGGCAATAAGGAGATCGCTAACGTACTAACCCTAACTAAGGTTCCTACTATACGCAACCGAGGATTGTAGGCGGTAGGAGCTCGTACAGTTAGTAGACCGATACCTAGCACGACTCTAAAGGGTATTAGGGAGACTCTACGCGCAACTAGCTCTAGAGGTAGAATAGGCTAACGCGTACCTGCTCCTCGGTCTATAGATGACTTCGTAAAACAGCTAGTAACTATACCTACAACTGTGCGCACCTCTCGCAGCTATACGAGAACTAGTAAGCTATACGGTATACCTACTAAGACATCCTACCCTATTCGCAACGGCCCCCTAGTTAGCACCGCTAATCTAGCAAATACAGCCTTACTATATACGTATAAAGCATTCCGCTCCCTAGTATAGAACGACCCTATACTAGTCGCTACGCTAAACGAGAGTCTAGTAATTTAAAACTGCTTTAATAGGCTTGCCTCCCTAGCTAACTAAAACTAGAGTGTTACCTACTAGGCAGAAGTTACTCGCATTAAGAACTACCTTGCTAGTTATACCGGACGGTTAGTAGACGACATTGGCCGTCTAGCTCGCGCCTCCCGTCGTTAAAGAGCTCGCATATATCTTACTAACGGCATTTAATAGGTAACTAAATTACCTGTTATAAGTAAAATCTAGATCGAATTACCTATCGCTACCCTATATTGTTAAGCCTATACATCCGCCTTATAGGACTCGCCTAACTCTC